TTCTTCTGTCCTGTGATTATATCTCAGATTGAGCTGTCACTCACTAAGCAGGATAATGGCAATTATTCCCTTTATGTAGAGAAAGTCATCAGTTTACTTTTTAAATCAGAAAGAATAAAGGTGGCATGGTTAAAAAAAGATACCATATAACTTTCAAAAGTATATTCTACATAGGTTCAGAATGAGTGCTAATCTAATTCATTACTATTCAAACACAGAGCAATTGAACAAATAAATGTTTTCTTTCATGGAATATAAATTAATTTGGGTGGAATAAAGACCTTGAAGCTTGCTCTGAATTTTACTTATTTAAATTTATATAGATTTTCCCCTGAATTTATTATTTTTGTTATAAATAACTCAAGGCAGTGAACATGCACAATATTTTTTTCCTCCTCCCATTTCCCCAACAACAATTCTGTGAGGTAGGTTGGACTCAGAGTGACTGGCCCAAAGACATCCAGCCAATTTTCATATATAAGGCAGGAGTAGAACTCACTGTCCTGATTTCTAACCTGGTGCCTTAGCTACTAGACCAAACTGTCTATATGTACATTACATTCTGAATAAATGTTTCCAGCATTGCAGATAATCAAAAGTCTTGCATGAGGTTCTCAAACATCATGATTTTCATGCATCTAAGTATTATTTGGCAAAAAGTGCACTTAAAACTGGCATTGGTGGAACTCTTTAAATAAACTTATATCACTTTCTTAAATGAATAAATGTTTGCCAACTTAAATTTTGGACATAAGCCATTTAAAAGTATAATGAATCAAGTTTGGAAAGAATTTTTTAGTCTATCAGCTGAGGAAGTAGAATCCAATTCCCAATTCAGAATATGTCATAAAAAATTGTCTTACAAAAATTTAGGCTCCTTATTCTCCTAGATAACAATTTTCTTATTTAGGGAAACTATTTCTGGCACTTTTCATATTTGTTTCTCATGGCCCCCATCTGTGTGGCCATTTTCCAAGAAATTACAAATAAGGTATTACATTAAAAGTAAACAAATTCACAGGGTGCTTGATCACTATTCTTTATAATAATATGATAATGAGTCATCGTGTTATTACTTATTTTGTATTATTTATATCACTATTTATATCTTCATAAAGATTGAAGATAGGACATAGATTTTAAGCAACTGTTATGGTTTTCTGTAATTCAAAATATATATTGAATTAAAAATAATAATTCAAAATATATTGATGATACTTTGAATTTAGAACTTTTTATTCTCAACCTTTTAATGCTCTTTAATAATATTCAAGAAATTCTGTTTTCATTCTCTAAATGGAATTAATTGGAAAATATATTTTGCCAAACATTAAGGCAAATATGCATTTAACACAACAGGGCATCATTCAAGCAGGGCTGCTATAGATATTACCAGGGGTGGGATTCAAATTTTTTAACAACCGGTTCTGTGGGCGTGGCTTAGGTGGTGGCCGTGGCTTGGTGATCATATGGCTGGGTGGACATGGCTTGGTGGTCATGTTATTGGCTGGGTGTGACCAACTCAATATCACCCACATCAAGGCATCCATCTCCTCGCCTGGCCTCTCATGACCGTGGGGATGCTGCAACAGTCGTAAGTGTGAAAAATGGTCAAAAGTCACTTTTTTCAGTGCCATTGTAACTTTGAATGGTCACTCCACACAAGCAAAGTACCAGCAAAGCAGGGGGAAAAAAACTCCAGAGAAGTTCCTGAGACAGGAAGTCTAGTCCTGCCAACAATGTAATAAGGGTTAAAGGAGAGGCAGTTTCTGTAAGCAACACCAGAATGTTTTCTTCCTGCCTTCCTTACAGGATTAGGCCAGTAATTTCTTTTAACAACTGGTTCTCCGAACTGCTTAGAATGTTAACCACCAGTTCTAGTGAATAGGTGCGAAATGGTAGAATCCCACGCCTGGGTATTACAGCATTGAAATAAATGGAAGTTGAATTGTAATTGTGGTTAGGGGGTTGCATCTTTGACCTGAGCAAGATCATAAAATAAATGTTACATAAAATAATTCATCCCATTTTAATTACAAATTAAAGACTGCTAGATGAAAGATGATGTATTCCAACATGTTTCATTGTTTCAGGGAGGCTCAATTTACCTACTGTTATATACAGTTTTGTAGAACTAAGGCAGCCCTTCCCAGTCTGGGATGCTTCAGATATGTTGAATTACAATTCCCCTAGCCAAAATATTCTGTCATGAGATCCCTGATATGGGGTGAGATGCTACCGGTTCTGCCTGGCTCAAAAGCTCTGAAGAGCAGCAGACACTGAACCAGTTCTGTGTTTGCTGCTGTTTGGCTCACCCACCCGCCTGGGCTCTTACCTGTCCTTTATTTCCTGCTTTTTCAACCTCAGCTGCTTTGCGTGGCACAGCTGAAGTTGAAAAAGCAGGAAAAAAGCGGCTTTTCAAATGCTGCTCACCTGTGTGCAGAGCTTTTCAGCTGTCCAGGCAGCACTGCTGAAGGTTTTTTACACGTGCACACGGAGGAGTAAAACGTAGTCACTGAACCAGTCATAACACCCGTTGAATCCCACCCCTGCCCTGATACATAGATACACTATGTGTCAGAGGTGGTATTCAGTAGGTTCTGACCAGCTCTGGAGAACCGGTAGTGGAAATTTTGAGTAGTTCGGAGAACTGGCAAATACCACCTATGACTGGAGAATTTACAGTATCCTTCCCCTGCCACGCCCAGAGAACAGGTAGTAAAAAAATTTGAATCCCACCACTGCTATGTATTTATAGTGAAGAACATAACATGGTGGCACAATATACTGCTCCAGCCAGTATCTTTCAAATGACATCCATGTTCATCCCACTGCATCCATTCTCATACTTCTTGGGAGATCTAGAGTTGCTTAATAGTTGGATGTGTAGACTTTCCATCTTTCCAAAACTATATAGAATCTGAGTTTTGCATGACAGCAGTTCAGACATTTATTGTTACTGTTTAATAATAATCTTAGGGCAATCAGAGCTGAGACTGTAACATGCAAAAAAAGATTTTAATCCTTAGTTGAATGCTACATTTCTGATAAAATTTGCTCTTTATCACAAGAAAAAGATATTGGCATTAAATTGGAGCAGTGATATTTCCTGGGGCTATGATCAAGAAAGGCCCAAATATGCTACTGCCCATTCCTTTATTCTACAGTTCCACTCCCCAATTGCTTCTCCTATCGCAGTGATTGCTATTAACAACAGATGCATTAAAGATAATCAAACATTTTCACATATTGCCTAATTTGATTATGATTATAGAACCTACATTTATTTTTCATTTAGAATGGGTAGTTGCTATGGGAGTTCAACCCCTTTGCCAATTGACATCCAACAGAAAGTAATGTTTTTTTTCACTGAAGATATTAATAGGTTAATAGATATCTGTGTGCCTCAGAATAGGAGGCACATAAATATTTTAAGAGATTAAGAAAAAAAAATCTTAGTGTTTTTAAGTGTCATAGATTGCAGACTGAACACAAGGAAAGTGTGGTGTTCTTGGAGCGAAAGGTCTACCTATAAAAATATCTGCACATCATTTGGTGTTAATAAATAACATAATGATTTATTCTCTGGTGAAAGGTCATTTGCATTAGCCCATTAAAAATATCTTTCTAACCTCATTATGAAATTTGAGCTCTCACTCAGATCAACAGCCATGCAACCACACCATGAACCATGATGTCTATTTTTATTCAGCCATGTTACCATAAACTATATCTTATTGTACTCTTAATTTCATTCCGATTTCAGCAATAACAAACTGTGCTGGGGAGACTACATAATTTCAGAAACTACACTGCTGGTTTTAAGGTTTTATTTCTCATCATCTGAGCAGTTAAAAAAGTATACCAAACAAATGGGATAAAGATAACACAATCATGGGCCATTCGTTAAATGACCATTCAAAGTTACAACAGCACTGAAAAAAGGTAACTTATGGCTGTTTTTCACACTTATGACCGTTGCAGCATCCCCACAATCACACGATCAACATTTGGCTGCTTGGCAACTGTCATGTATTTATGATAGTTGGGGTGTCATGAAATCATCTTTTGGGACCTTCTAGCAAGCAAAGTCAATGGGGAGGCCAGAATCACTTTGCAACTGTGTTACTAACTTAATAACTGCAGTGGTTCACTCTACAACGGTGGCTGTGGCAAGTAAAGTTGTAAAATGGGGCAAAACTCACTTGACGACTGCCTTGCTTAGCAATGGAAATTTGGGGTTCAACTGTGGTCCTTAAGCCAAGGACTACCTGTATTACATATAGAATATCTTTATTCTGTTTATTTCTGTTCATTATATATGCGTCCTTTTATTTCGTGTTTTGATGCGTATTATCAAACCAAAAGGACAAAAGGAAAAGATACTTAAAAATACCGAAGCATGCAAATCAGGTAGAGCTGTAGAATCCATAGAAAACAGCCCTCACAGTTGTGCTGACGGTACTAATAAATCAGGACAATTTGCTGCTTTGATTTCTTGAGAAAGGTCATTGAAAACATCTACTAAGAATAAAACATAGGAAGTTTGAACAAAGTATAAGACTAAACACTTATTGTGAGAATCAGCACAGATTCTATGATATATACAGTATAACAGATGGGAATATTGTATTGGAAAGACACTGAGATTCACCTCCTATAAACAATCCTAAATTTCCCAATTTCCTATTCTCCTTGATCTACTCGGCCAGCAGATAAAATGCTTCTTTTTCTCTGTCCTTTTATTCTCACCTTTTGATAGACATATATTGTGTGCACTTGTGATGTGTGTGTGTGTGTGTGTGTTTAGTACACACACTAAATACAATATTTTCTAATAAAGTAGATAGAAAGTGTTCTGTTACTTGGGGCCTTAACATGCTCTGGCCTGGCATACAAGATTCTTAATAAACTAGGCAAGCAATTTAACAGAGCTAGAACACCGAATAAGCTTGTCTACAGCGTTACTGCTATCCACAGACACCATAAGGAACCATTACCTCGGTCAGATGAGGGTTGGGGTTGAATCCACATTGGTTGCAGACCTTGTTGTGACACTGTGTGCAGGTATTGAAATTTGGCTGGTTAGGGGAGGAGGTGAGATCTGTTGTCTTGCATATAGGGCAGAGCGTGCTACTGGGAAGGGGGGCAATTTGTGGGACCGAATAAGGTGAGGTCGGCGTGCTGCCTCGCTCCGGGGAAACAGATGGTGAGCGTCCTCCACCCACTTGGAGAGTCCTCCTGGGCCCATCGGTGTGTTGGGGAGCCTGCCCCTGGCTCCGTTTCTCTCTTGGGGTTTCACTGCCTGGAGCAGCTTTTGTCAGGGACGGGGAAGGTGTCCTCTGTCCAAAGGAGGAGTCTGATTGTTCTGGTCTTCTTGGTGTGCTGAAACACATTAAAAGGCATCTTGAATAAAATGGTGATAACAACACAAACTCCCACAGAAAAGACTAGGGGATAAAAACAACAACTATCTAAGTAGTTTGAAGAGTTGCAGTTAATTACTGCCAACAGATGTTCAAACATAAGGATTGCATGGTCTTATTTATTTTTAATATGTCCAATAATAGGTGTTCTTCTAAAAAAGCAGTTATAGCTCACCACACCTAGAGCATGTTTAATGTCAAACTGGCTCAAACCGGTTCCTTTTTCTGCAGCCTACAGCCTCAAAAGGGGGGAGATTATATGTAAACTGAGAACCAGCAGAAATCAGGCATCCTCTATTAACTTAAGCAAGTTCCCATTACTGGAAAAGGTTATCTGATCATTTGCAGGACCATTTCATGTCACAGCACAGCCAGTCTCGATCTAACTCTGCTGATTCTAGGCTACAAAATAATTGAAGCAAGGAGGGAGGCGGGGGGGGGGGGGACAATCCAACTACGACATTACATTTTAAAAATCAGCTTCTCGAGTTTGTTTGTTTTTAAAAAGGTCACTTTAAAAATTTAAGATTAATTTAAAAATAAATTAACAAGACGGTGGGGACAGCTCTTGTTTTTTTTTATTATTTATTTATATCATTTATTTCTTGCTCAGTTCCACAAATTTCAGGAAGCTTACATTAAACATGCCTACACATCATTAGCAAATCACATAAAAAATCCATTTAAAAGCAACAAGCATAATTAAAAGTGACCGGAGGATAGGCACCTCACATTCCCACTGCCCAGGTCTAAAACTCTAGATATTTTACAGACCTTCAAATCTCAGGAGTAAAATATTTCAGAGGGGAAGAAAAGGGACTATTTTTTTAGCCCCCCCCCCCTCAAACATTGGGGTGGTGGTGGTTTGAAATTTTCCAGGTTGATTGCACAGAGCATGCAAATTTTGTTTAGAGAAGAAATCTGGTACATAATATAGACTTAAGCTTACAGGTCAAAACCCACACTTAAAGTTTGCACTTGTTGCCTTCAAGGCTTTTTTTAAAATATATGTTTTATTAATATACTATTTTTTTATATCAGCCTTCAATGTTTGAAAGTGTGTGACAGAGATATGTTTATCATGGTTTATGATATAACTGGAAGTAATAATGAAATACACTTTGCAATGTATGTACTCTGAGAAATTCCCAGCACATAGGCTATCACATTCCAAACCAGCTGAAGTTCCTTGGTAGACCTACATTGGGGGGGAAATGATTGATCCAAAGTCTCTGAGCTAGCTTTGTACCTCAGGCAGGACTAGAACTCATGGTTTTCTGGTTTCTAGTTGGTGCCATAAACACAGGAATTCAACCTTGAGGAATAAAAGCATGGATATACTGGAACATACCTACATGTTGTTATTAATTCTTGCTTTCCCATTTGAATAATATCCCCAAAAATCTAAATTTCTAAATTTGAAAAGATCAAATATTGTCCTTTTTGAAATTCAACCTCTGTGATGTTCACTAGAACGTTATACTATTTTAGACTGCTGCTTCATGATCTGCTGTGGGTATCTTAATAAACATATTAATCAGAAGCAGAAAATTCTATCTTGCTCGTTCAGTTCTCAGTCTCTATATACACATGATTTTCTGAATTCCTATGTAAGTAGAGCTACGTTAAAAATAATAGACTAAATCAAGAACATGTTATGAATATTTTACCACAATTAGCTTTGAACATACCTTCCACAATCCCGTTATGCAAGTGAACTCGATTCCTCTTGGTTGCAATTGTGGCAATGCTAGTATTCTGTTAAGCTCAATTAGCCAATTACCCTGATGGCACCTTAACATGACTTGACTAAATCATGTGAGTATTTCCCACTTACTGCCTTTGACTGAGGGAGGCAGGACAGAAAGTGAGTTGAATTCATGTGAATGGAACAACTCTGGTTAAAGTAAAACTTTTTACCACTTAAACACATTATGCAATCTATAAATTTATATTAACCATACTTCAATAGTAATGTTTGAATTAGGTCTGATATCTGATATCAGCCTGATGTGTTAGCCCTAATTGACAAATTTTAACTGTAAGCAATACAAAATAGTTTGCACTTCTGTTTTATTTTTGTTTAAATGCCTCAAATGTGATGAGTCCCAAAATATATGTCAGGATGTATAGGCATATACTCAGAGGAATCATTCCACCTCTCTCTCTCTCTCTCTCATCTCTGCTGCTGTATAGCATGAAACTGATAAAGCTATTTTGCAAAATGTATTTCATCATTACTTCCAGTTATATCCTCAACTGTGATAAACACATTTCTTTCACACACTTGTGTATGACACACAAAGTTGCACTCTGTCAACACAAAATAGCAGGAATTGGCCAGTGGCTTGTAGTTTCTGCCAGATGTTTTGGTGATAAAACAGGCAAATATGTATTACATGTTCCAAATATAGGTAGCTTCCCTCAGTAAATTACGCCCAGGTAGAAAAATCAATTTATTTAGCAGTTATGTATCCATATGCATAGGGTAATGAATATTTTTATCTTGTTATTTATTTTTATTATATTTGTATTACTTTATAAGTAAGTCAAGTACCTAATATTCCTTCCTCACAACAACAACCCTGTGAAGTGAATTGGGCTGACAGTGACTGGTCCCAAGTCACCCAGATTCATTGCTAAGGTGGAACCAGAAATCATAGTCTCCCAATTTCTAAGCAAGCATCTTTTCTAAGCAAGCATCTTTTCTAAGCAAGCATTACACTAAACTGGCTTAGGTATCAAAATATTCCTAACTTTTAGGCATAGATTTGAAACAAACAAGGCCAAAGCCCAATAAATTAAAGGACAATAACTCTTTAGACTACATCAATAACACAGCTTCACATGGTTCAATTAGATTTCCTCAATATATTCCTGCTGTTTTGTTCACATAATTTTGGGTAGTTATCAGGCTTAACTGAAATACATTCAGAATGAAAAGGAAAACAATACCTCCATGCTAAATTCTATCCTCTCTTTAGTAATATGGAAGATTATTTATCCAAGAAGTTGAGAACTATAACCTGCGCATCGCCCCATCATTTTTCAAAGCAATTAATGACAGGACAAACCTACAGTATTATATCATAAACCTACATAGTACAAGAATTCCCAATTTTTGTTTCAAGTCCTGAGATACCTAGAATATCAATTACAACATTTTTATTAATCAAAATAATGTATTAGGTTTAAGTTCATCAACTAAACTCTTATTTCATTTTATTACCTTCTATGTGCCTTTTTTAAATGAAGCATTGAGCTGACTTCAAATAACTAAAAAATTATACCAAAGTTACATCTAATGGCTCTTGCACTCCATTATGTTGTTTCTACGTATTTACTTGAGTAATTGCGAGCACAATGAAACTGTTTTCCTTCATGAGAAACAATTTTACATTGCAGTAAACAGTTGTCTGTTATACATCATATGTAACATCTTTTGCACAAAACATAAAACATTAATTTTATGTGGTTGTTAGCAACAGTTTTTAATGGGGAAAAAATGTATTTTGAAACATCTCTCCCTTGAATCTCACATGAAGTGATAACTACATAAAAGGCATAATGAGCCATCCTCGTTCAGTAAAACTGTTTCCAGCTAAAACATTAATGCCAAGAGGCTGGAAATAGTTTACATTATTATATTCTCCTAGAGGTAGTATGTTACATAATTTTTAAAATTAACTTTTTTCTTAACAGCTAAAAATGTATTCACTTCAGTGTATTTAATCATACACTGTGCAATCAAAATAGAGTTGCTAAATCAGATTCGCAGCTGAATGAACCTACAGCAGAGAAACTTTAGCAGATTTGGATCAGAGATTACAATATCAGGAGATTTTACAACCATATACCTTTGATCATGCACGTGAAGTCATACCAACTAAGAAATTCATAAACAGAAGAGAGTTAATCAATTGTAGACCTAGAATTGATTTATGCAAGATAGTTGTTATCTGTTCTATCAAAGCTATAGCAACACAATTATCATACCATAGTTTGTGAAAACTCCAGACCTTCTTAGTTCCCTTTTATTGACTTCGAGCCATCATCTAATTCAGTGGCACAAAGCATTATCTTGACAGCAATTTACAATAAAATAGGAACTCTTCCTAAGTCAGGAAACCATAAAGAAGGGCAGGAAAGTACAAAATTCTGCTGAATATAATTTTCATTGCTGAAAATGAAGATAATTCTGGGATTTGGGGTCCACGTTTGCCCATGAAATGAAAAGTATGATGACTTCCAGCAAATCAATCTCTTTAAAAGCTGACCTACTTCATAAGGGTGCTGTTGACGGGATAAAATGAAAAGGGTATACATGTAAGCCCAGTTGAATTCTTGGAGAAAACATGAGCTATACAGTTAAACAATAAATAAGACAAAACCATTTCATTCATTCATTCATTCACACACACACACACACAAATAAAAATTACTAACTTTCTCATGGAAAGAAATTTATTCTCCTTGAAAGTAATAGGCACATGGTTTGTAAACCAGGTGGCTTTATTTATTGCTATTACTATTTCATTTTTAATTGTCTTTCTTCAAACATTCTCTCAGCTACTCTTGTTCAAATCAAAATGTATAGACAAACAGCATTGCTTTTCTAACATTTTCTCAAAAAAGGAGGGCTGTTCTGCTGCCCCTGAATCAGCCACATCGATGACAAGAGAGCCATTTTGCATCTGCTGGTCACTGGAGCTTTTAAGACTTCCTCTGTAGAAAGAGGCTGTATGGATATCTTCCTTTTTCTCAATATAGCAGCAAAACACACAAGTTACTAGAGGAAAAACCATTTTGTTCTCACTTTTTTCTCCAGGGAAAGCTGCTGTTCCTTATTCACACTGATCCTGAGTTTGCAAATTGCTTGGTTATATTCAATGGTATGAGTTTTTCATACTACTAGAATCGGAATATATACATGTATATGTTCAAGTTGTACTTAAATTT